GTTTCATAAACATTATCATAATTCAATCTTATATTGACAAAATCAGTATTGTTATCCTCATTTTCATTATGTTCCTGCCAACCGTTGACTTTGCCATTGTTTACCCTCCATGCTGTCTTCTGTGTTGGAAATCACACAAAGATCCGTTGCTTCCTCGAGGCTCATAGTCAAGGGGGATTGTCAGGGGAGCTACCTCACTGTTGCTATGGACTGAGTTGGGGCTCCCGGTCAGGAGGATGGACAGCGTGAAGCCAAAGGGTGAGTTGAGTACAGAAGGCTGGGAAAGATAGCTGAAGAAGAAGTAAACAGAAACCGCTTGAACACTGACTGTGCTGACGTCCACCCTGAGTGTTTTAGGGGACAATATGGTCCTTGTCCTTGCTCTCAAGGATTCCACCAGCCACCTGGGATGCCTAAGAAAACTGGTCTCTCTTCACCTTAGATTCTGCCTCCTCCAGAAGTACCAGATGATAGCAGAATGGCGAAGTGTGTGGACTCTGGTGCCAGCTGCCTAGCTCTCATCATGCTTTTTGTTCTATGAGCTGTGTGGTGTTGAGTAAGCCACTTAAACTCTCTAGGCCTGTTTTCTCATTAGTATATTTTAGATACCTACCTTGGAGGAACGATGTAAAGATTAAATGATTTAATACCTGTAGCACGCCTAGACAGTTCCTGGCACCTCGTAAAGGCCGGATAAACGGCAGTGATTATGACTATTCCTTGCAGAAGGGCGACAGTATCTGAACTCCCATGCATGGTACGGTGGTGCTCAGAGGCCGGCCGTCTCAGTGGACACCTGCCTTCTCTGTGCAGACCGCCACAGTCGCTGTCAGTGGGAACGCGCTCCGTGCCAGGGCTGCAGGGTGCACTTCTGCATGAGGGGGCTGAGGCCCCACAAAGTTGATGCCTCAGGTAATGTCTTCCACGTGGCAGGGGCAGGAGCCTGTTGTCACACATCCCCACTGACAGGAAACTTTTCCGTCTTAAATATTTGAGCCAAAAGAGCATAGAAAAACGTAATTTCTCTAACAGACTCTTTTCTAGAAATAGCATCAGGATAATGGAGACAGGAATCCTAAGACAAACCTCATATATTTCACCATCACCCTGCAGATCTCTCCTGCCCATGGCATCATCTCTGAATTTACCTAAATGCATTTTTTGACTCACTTTGGTTTGCAGCCTGTGCTGCCTGTTGGGGTGGTAGTGAGGGTGGCAGACTGAAGGAGAGAGGAAGCAACCACGGAAATGTTGGCCTCGGTCAAAGGGGGCAGGTTCAAGGATCAGCATGGAACTCATTATATGTGGCAAAAACAGCTGGGGAGGAGCCTCTGGCCTTCGATCAGCTGACTTGTCTTTCAATTCCCTGCCGTGATCCAAGTGTTTATGGAGTGTCTTCTTTGTCCCAAGAACCACACTAGGCACCAGGGAGTCAGCGAGGTCAGAATTTCCACTCTGCACTGACACTGAGAAACAACTGTGGCTGCGACACCAAGAGACCCAGGGATGTTGAACCCACAGAGAGGGAAAGGTCCCGTCTGAGGCCAGTGCTGAGGCCAGAGCAAGAGGAGAGAGCCAGCTTGAGCTCCTGTGTCTATCGTGTGGTTTGAACACTAGGCAGCCTCGAGTTCAACCCAGGCTTGGCCACTGCCCAGCTGGCCCAGCAAGCCTGGCACCTCTGTTTCTTTGTGCTAAAAAGAAGACAATGATAACTACTTCCCAGGGTTGTTGTGAAAAATAACCAAGATGAGACAAGCGAGAGAGCCAATGCTTGCACATGGTAGATGCTCTACCCATGTGTGACTCCCTCCTCCCTGTCCCACACAACCACCCCAGGAGCATCCAGAGATGAGTTAGCATGGTGGTGAAGAGCACGGGCTCTGGAGGCAGGCAGCCTGGACTAAAATACTTTACCACTTGTTAGCTGTGTGACCATGGGCATGTTCCTTAACCTCTCTGTGCCTCAGTTCCTTTATCTGTAAAATGGAGATAATAGGTAACCTCCTCATGAAAGAGAGTGAGAATTTAATGTAATGAAGGCATTAAAAGATACGCTGAGGCACATGAACGTTTTCAAGCGTTTCTTTGAGCAAACATCGATCCCAATGGGTATCGCCACACTGGAGGTGGTTAGGGCTGGGGGAAAGGTTTTTACAGAGCAGACAGGAGCCAAGCGAGGAACTCCGCTGGCTGCCTCCAGCTTCAGCAGCGCCTCAGTTGGGAAAGCCTAGCTGGCTGTTCGTGGTTGGTTGTCTCTCTCAGTTTCCTTTTCTCGGATCCGAGCGCGTTTGCGATCGACTCTGCTGAGGCCTCCTCGGGCTCGCGAGGGCAGCCCGGGCATGAGCACCACACAGTGTCGCCACTGTCGCCAACGGAACAGGCTGCACCAGATCGCGGAGCCCTCGCGCTCACCAGGGCGCAGCTCATTAACTCATCCAGAGACCCGTAAGAGATGGCGGAGTTCTTCTTCCCCACTTCACAGAAGATGTGAGGATGCTAAATGAGCCTCCCAGGCCCCCTGTCCGCGAGGGGCAGAGCAGGGATGCAAACCTGAGACGCCTCCCTCTGGAGTCTGGGCTTACTCACCACATTGCTTTTGTAATTAGTGTGACCTAATTTGTGTCACCTGTTATCACCGTGTGGCTGAGACACCAGGAGGAGGACAGGCTGGAAATTCTAAAATGCTCCATCCTTTCTTCTGGCCCCCCTTCCCCACCCCCAGCCCCCCGCTCTCGTGTTCAGCTGGCGTTGATAGTACAGTTTTTATAAGCTTAGGGTTTGATATCACTCAAGATCTCCACTCCAATCAAATTTAGGTTCACTGTGGTAATGAGACTTAATTAGCGTCAAATTCCTCTTTTATTTTGGTTTTACCTTTTTATTTTCTGCTTTTTCTCCCCAAATCCTTCCAGTACACAGTTGTATGTTTCAGTTGTGGGTCCTTCTCGTTGTGGCATGTGGAACGCCACCTCAACGCGGCCTGATAAGCGATGCTATGTCTACACCCAGGATCCGAACCAGCAAAAGCCTGGGCCACCCGAAATGGAGCGCACAAACTTGACCACTCTGCCACGGGGCCGGCCCCTTTTATCTGCTGGTCCAGGAGCCTGCAACCTCCCACACGGGCACTCAGAGATGCCGTATTATACATTCAGGACCATGAGACAAACATTTTGCCGTCATACACACCCACTGCCAGAAGACGTTTCACTCTGAAATAGTTGAGCCAAGACAGCCTAAAAAATGTGGTTTCTCCCAGAGTCTTGTCTAAAAACGACAGCAGAGGAATCTGTTTTCCATGAAGACCCGTCCACTGAGAGCGTATGTGGGCAGACACAGACAGGAGAAGCACTTCAGAAACCAGCGACGAGGTGGGCAAGTGGCAGCAGTGGGGGCTGGAGGGGACAAGCTGTTCCCCTGGGCAGCGAGGAGAAAGAGGCAAATCACAGAGTTTTAGAGCTTCAAGGAGATGCAAAGCCCATCTAATCCAGGTCTTTGCAGGCTCTTTTTAAATGCAGATTCTTTTGTTCAGATGAAATCTTACCTGAACCTGTGTGTAAAAGCTGAGATGCTCTTACCGAACCAGGGAGGAGAGGCCCAGAGCCTGACCCCTCGGCTCCTGTCCTCTCACCCGCAACAGCCCTTACAAGGGATCTGGGAACCCCTGGGGTTCCTCGGAGCACAGTTTGAACATCACTGTTCTAAGCCGACCTCCTCCTTTACCACTGGGGAAAACGAAGCCCAGAGAAGCTACCTGACTTGCCTGAGGTTACACGGCAACTCAGCGGCCTGTGCGGTCCCCTCTCCTCCTTCAACCATTTTTCCACAATGACACCCTGAGTTCTCTAATGAACGGGCTTTTGTTTCTCCAGACTGTGTTTGTAGTTGTGTGTTTGTACCCGTGCCCAGCGTTCCCAAGAAAAGCTAACAAACCAGTCCCTGCTCTCACTCTCAAGCTTGGCGTCTGCAGTTTGCCCACACTTCTTGGCCGCCCGAGAGCTGGACGCACGTGCGGAAAGGCACAGGTTCTGGCGGCTGTCCCGTGGCCCCAAGGCCCCCGGAGGCTGGCCTCCACCCGGAGGGGTGCCTGCTTGCATGGGGAAGTCCTACCGAGCGGGTCGTTCTCCCAGAGACACCTGAGAGTGGGCACACCCGCCCAGTAGCTGTGACTGAGCCACTAAATCGGGTCGCTTCTCCATCTGCAGGGGGAGGGGACAGGGCGAAAGCCACCACCTGACCATTACATGCAGAGATGTTACAAGTTGCTTAAGTTAATGTGTCCACTGCCTGTTGGTGCTTTGAGGGAAAAAGTAGAAGAAAGGCCCAACAATGGGTCTACGAGCGGGCTGTTTCCTTCCCCTGGTCGAGGGCACAACGTCAGGGGGAACGGTCGAGAGGGGGATTTCTGAGTAACGTGCTCTGTCAAGGAAATGCTACGACCGCAGTAGCTAATGCAGGGCTTACTCTGCTCTGCCCCGGGGTCCCTTCACGTGCCCCTAATGCAGGGCTTACTCTGCTCTGCCCCGGGGTCCCTTCACGTGCCCCTCGCAGCAGCCCAGTGGAGAGGCACTGTTATTTGCGTTGGGTGATAAAGCTCAGATGCGCTAATCAAGCTATTTATGGTGGCACAGCTAGAAAATGACGGACCTGGGATTTGAACCCACAGCCATCGATAGAGCTGCAAAGCCTCGATGCCCCATCCTGCTCCATCCTGCCCTTCCTCCCTCCACACAGGAAAAAGGGAGGATGACGTGATGCATAAAAGTGCAGCCCAGGAGGGAGCCTGCAGGACGGGCGCCTGGGCTGGCTCTCGGAGCTGCCCTCCAGCCTGCAGAAACCAGCATTCCCAGCAAACCCAGATCCCGCAGAGCTCTGGGACGCAGGAATTCTCGGCTTGTTTACCGAGTCCCCGGGCGGGGGGGGGGGGGAGCTGGGCACAAAGGCAGGATAAAGGTAAACTTTCTGCATGGGAGAGCCATTCCCCCTCGGAGGAGCGTGTCACACTGTATGTCACCGTCATCAAAGGGGCTGTGCATAAACCTGAAAAACCAAACGGACCTGTCTGTAGGTGTTACTTATACACAGGGCTGCAGGTGCCCTTATTTCCACTGTTCACCGTGCTGGCAGCGCCTGCCTTCTCTGGCCACAGAACCTCCTCCTTGGACCTACTCTCCGCTGTCCTCACGTAAGCACCTTTTCTTTGCTCTTTTAGATGAATTGGAAGGGGTGTCAGGGCTCAGGGCTCAGGCTGGGGCCCCGGTCTGTCTATCCGTCCAGCTGCAGCTCGCCGGCTCTCCTGCCAGTTTCATCAGTCACCGTGCCTCCCTCCCAGGAGCTGTTTGACTGGGACTGAGCTGCCCCCCTGAGAGACATTCTCACCTCCGCAGGCCACGCAGCCACCCAGCCCCTCAGCCACCCAGCCCCTCCGCCACGCCCCCACTCCCCTGATGGCTTGCTGAAGCCGAGAGGAACTGAGAGAGAATGCATACAGGCACTCATTCTCTACCCTCCCCAAAGGTTCCTAAAGCCCTGTCTGCAGGAAGGGGAGCTGGATTCCATGCCTGAAAATATTCCGATTCAGGAGAGCCCACCTGCCCCGGCTGAACTCCTCCTTCCCCAGCGGCCTGCTCCTGGCCCCCTTACGGAAAAGAGAGCTGCTTTATTACAGTTTGCGGCATTTTTCAGGAATTAGTCTGCACAAAACGTCTTAAAAGCAATGCATTTTGCCCCCTCACACCCCCTCAGGATAGAACGCTTCCAGAAAAGCGGCGGTTAGGGTTTTGCACTGTGTTCTCAGGCCTGTGCGCTCTGCGGCGTGTGGGGTCCGTGCACTCGCCCCCTGCTGGCAGCCGCCGGTGGCACATGCCCCCGTCCCGCGGAAGCGGCCCGGCTGGGATGCGCAAAGGTCACAGCCTGCAGAGGAGGGCAGAGGTCATTAGATACGACCTCTTCACGGCACAGATGAGGAAACGGAGGCTGGGAAGGGTAAGTGACTTGGGAGGGGGCTTCGTGTTAGAGTCTAGTCTAAAGCCCGGGGAGAAGGCTCTCTGCCGTCCTGCGCTCCCTCCAGAATGCTTTTCTGAGCGAGGTGGGCTCGGGGGGAGAGGTCAGTGTGGGTGTCTGCTTTTCTCAGCAGTCTCAACCTTTCAGATACATTGATGACGATTGCCTTTTCTGTGGTAGAATGTATTCGTGTACCATGCCCGTTCCTCTGCGTGTATTATCTGGTTTTGTTAAATCCTCAGGACACCCTGAGGATCACGTGTTAAAATCTCCATTCGAGACTTTGGCTCAGAGAGGGTCCTGGGTTTCTGCCTACTGCTCCTTGTAGGAAACAAAATAGAGAATGTCGGCAGGCTGGCAGTAAGCAGTGTGTCCCACATCCCTTGCCTTGTGGGTCACAGAGGCAGGATTTAACCCCAGTGGAACCCAGTTTGTCCAAAACTGATGAGCCTTGCGGGGGAGCCCACAGTAAACCGTATGGCATACCTTCTACGGGTCTTAGCTGCACCTTCAGAAAAACAACGAAAGACAAGTGAACAAGCAAACTCCCTAAGCAAGCTACAGAAAAACGAGGAGTTCGTTGGCAAGACGTCAGCAAGTCAGTTCTCACAGCTGGTCTGGTTTCTCCCAGAAGAACAAACACTCAAGCACCCAGCCCTCAGCCCTTCAACAGCAAGTGTCGAAATAGCCCACTGGGCTTTCCTCCATGTGACTCCTCCTCAGGGAGGCTGGAAGGGGGAACGGCCCCGCCTTGCCCACGGGGCTCGGGACAGGCGAGCATTGCAGGGTCGCTGAGGCTCTGGAGAAGGAAACACATTTTCCTTCCCGAGGAGACTGCCCGGCTCATGGGATCAGGGGAGGCCTTTCCCGGCCTCCCTTTCCATAGTTGACAGCCTTGTGGCCTCGTTGGGCCTGGCGATGTTTGGGTGCGTGAGTAGCCAATGTGTAGATGCTTAATAGGGTGGATTTTTGGTCACATGCCCAGAGTGAAGTTGATGATCTCTGAGAGGGTCAGGGAGGAATTTTCCTCCTCTGGCAAACTGGCCAAGGCTGGGTGGTTTGCTCCTTCCTCTCTCTGGAAGGCTGAGCAGAGGGGCCAGGCTGCTCAGGCCATGGGCGCCACACCTGCGATTGCTGCCTCTGACTCGAGGCGGGGCAGGAAGCCCACAGGCCTGTCCCTCTGACTGTGCAGACCCTCCCTGTGCACACTTGGTGAGTGAGCCGGCTCTCAGGAGGATGAGGAAGCCCCTAGAGGCACTGGGGACCTCAGCTTCCAAGCCAGCATTGTCTCATACCCAAAGGGACCTGCGGCTGGCCTTTCTCCCGTGACGAAGGGAGCCCACCTGACTCTTCTGCCTTTGTGGGTCGTGTTTGATTCTTTCCTGCTTCCTGGGCAGCTATGACGGTGACTACATTTGGGGGAAACTGATGCCAACAGCTTTGGGTCTGTTGATGGGAACTGAGGGGGTCCCCCGTGCTGGAGGGGCCTGGCCAGCCCAGGCAAAGAATATCCAGAGCCCACTGCCGAAAGTAGTGGGCACGGGAGGGAAGGGGGCAGAGGAAGTCGGGGCCTTTGTAGAGCTCAAGTTTAATCTGTTTGTAGTGGTTGGATTTACTGCAATTTGGCGAGCTTGCTTGACCACAATACCCAAGTATAGCCAAGGTATATGCATATGTGTGTGCGCTCCCACGTTTCGATGTGTCGGCCCAGTTGGGTGGGTGCCAGCAGAAAATCGTAGAGCTGGGGCACCTCTGCAGGCCACCTCGTGACTGTGTCCATTTCATAGATGAAGGATGGAGGCTTGGAGAGGTGCAAGAGACAGAATCAGGACTCCCAGCCCAGGGCCCTTTCCATGATGACAAACCAGGGAGACCCTTGAAAAACAAAAAGGTGTGGCTAGAGCAGCACGCCAGGGCCCCTCCTATGCATCCCCTCTTGTCCTGCTGCCTCTAGGTCTAACCCAGCACTTTGCAGCCCATTGATCATTGCCACCCCCACTAAGCAGCCTTTTGAGATCATTTTTTCTTAATTGTCTCCCCCATGAAAAGTTAATATCATAAAAATACCGCGTATCATTTATGTGCTGTGGCCCTTTGAAGGGTCATGAAAAATAATTTCTAAGATCTTTCTGATGCCCAAGAACCATTTTTTTCCCTCTGGGATCACCCTCGTTGGGAATGGGTGGTCTGACTTCAGGCCGGGCTGACATATCACAGGGCCTCAATGGCCTTGCAGAGAAATGGCGCCCCAAACAGCTGCTCTTTCCCACCCACATGAAAGAAATCTTAAGAGCTAAAATGTTCAGTTATTGCATGGACTTTAGAGGGCCTAAGAAACTGGATACAAAGCAGCATTGTCCCTGCCCTCTCACACCTAGAGCATGCTGGCTAAGCGGCCGAGGGCTTTTGTGGAGAGCCCAGAGTTAACGATACTACTGTACTAGCAAAAAAATACACAATCTGCTGCTGCTTTTATAAAGGACATTTTTTTCCTAAAAGCAAGAAAGAATTACAAAAGAAAAATAGCATATTGTATACCTGAGAGAGCCCTTTAAGAAAACCTAATGGAAGTAATTTGCCATGGAAGGAATCACCGAAGGGCCTTGGGTCCGGTGCTGCGGACAGCGGTAGGGGTTGCAGAGCGCGTGAATGGGCTGGGGTGGGGAAAACATCCTTCAAGGAGGAAAAGATCCTATGGATAAAAACTGTTCCTAATTGTTATATATCAAATTCAATTTACCAAATGACTTTTGAGAGCGACATGTCAGGTGTAGGTAGAGAAGCGTGTGCTCTGGCGGTCGAGTTTTCTATCTGGCGCATTTCTAGCTGACATTGATGACCAGGGAATGTCTTCTATTTCCTCCCTGTGGAGTGGAGCTCCCCTTCCTCCAGATCCCCCGTGAAGGTCATGGCAGAGCTCTGCCGTCCTCTTCTGCAGTTTTCTGAGCCTCCGGCCCAGAGGAGAGGGGGCATGTTTATCCGTAGCCCTCACTTGGGGGAACTTTTCTGAGGTCAATTCCAGAAAGCAGAAGGGGCCTTGGATTTCAGGGGTCCCTCCCTCCCTCAGCACCTCCCACCCCATCCCTCCTCCTCCCACCTCCCGCTCAGGTTATAAAACCAGCCAATCCGTGGGAAAATCAGAGCCCAAATCAAGGCAGCCTTGACCTCTGCCTAATGGCACTCCCCGGAGATGCATGAGCCTGATAATCTTCCGGCCGCTGTTAACCCTCTCCGGGTGCGGGAAGAAGGCTTCCTGGTGGGCTCCGGGGACCAATGATGGCCCAGAAAGGGTGCCTCCGTGTAAGACTTTGAACTCGGTTGTTTGTCTATGTCAGGAGCACGTACGATGGTGATGATGATGGTAGATTTGCAAACACCCTGAAGAAGTGGTCTTTGGTTCTGGAATCACACAGCCCCTGCCCCTGTCAGTATCGAGGGCCTATGTGATGTGTCATGTGTCTGTGTCTGTGGGCTCATGCACCTGTGAGTGTTTTCAGAAAGGGAAGCAGGTGGGCCGAGAGTCGGAAACTTAACTCTGCAAGGTGACCCTGCCATCCACTGTGTGTGACCTTGAGCGAGTTACGCAAATTTCCTGGGCCTTAATTTTCTCAACCGTAAAATGACAGGATGAGGGGAAAGACTGGACCAACTCAGTACTTTCCAGCCTGTGGTCCTCACACCACTTGTGATGCAGGAGGTAAATCGGGTCAGGAGTGGGCAAACTGTTTCTTAAAGGGCCAGATAGTAACTATTCTAGGATTTGTGGACCTACCGGCAAAATCAAGGATATTTTGTAGTTACTTACACAGTAGTCCCCCCTTATCCACAGGGAACACGTTCCAAGACCCCCAGAGGATGCCTGGAACCACAGATAGCACCAAACCCCGTATATGCAATGTTTTCTCCTGTACGTACCTACAGTACGGCATGGGTATGCTGGACACAGGGATGATTCGAGTCCTGGGTGGGACGGAGTGGGACGGCGTGAGATTTCATCACACTACTCAGCATAGCATGCAATTTGATACTTATGAATTGTTTATTTCTGGAATTTTCCATTTCATATTTAAGAATGGCAGTTGACCGTAGGTAATTGAAACCGCAGAAAGCGAAACCACTGGCAAGGGGGGACTACTGTAGTGGTCCGTGGAACCATTTTAAATATAAAATCACTTTTAGAGGCGGGCCATTCCAGAGTTAGACGGCGGGCGGGACTGGGCCTGTGGGTCGTAGTTTGCTAACCACCAATGCACATGGGTCGTGGGGGATCAATTTTCATTTAAATGCTTATGTCGTCATTTTTATGTATGTTAAAAGAATACTGACTTTCCATTTATAGTGATGATATAAAGTTTTCCTTTTAAATAAGTGTAGTTTGTTAAAACAAAAAAAGGAGTTGATATTTTAAAATGTGTTAAGAAATTATCATGGTGGGCAAATGACCAAAGTTTGGGCAACACTGGACTAGATGATCAATAAGCTCCTGACCAGCTTAAAGCTCCGTGAGCTTAACGTCCCCAGACGCGGCATCTAGCCTGTGCGCCGATACTCACCAGCCGTGTGATCTGCAGCTGCTGGATCCCCCATACAAAATGCGGGTGGAACCAACCTGTCTCATCAGCCCTATTTCGAAAATCGGAAAAGAGAAGTGCGGTGAACAGATTTTTCTATTCTGCCAAACATGGATGTTTTTCCAGAATTGTGGGACTGTGGGAAGCAGCAAAGAGAAACTTGAAAGATGAGACTGGCATGGGCCAGAATGCTTGCCAGTGGGGGCCCCGGGTCCATCCTCTTCTGCCCACTTTCCAGCCCCACCAGACACCTTCTCCCAAGCTTCCCACTCAGCCACGTGCGCGGGGGTAGAGCAGGGACTAGGGTTGTGGGCTTTTTAAACAGACAGCCCTGAGTTGCCACCCAAATTCCAGCCCCTGCCCGCCAGGGGGCGTGTTGCCTGAGCATCCTTCCCTCGTCTGTAAAACGGAGCCACCGCCAGAACCTTCCCAGAGTGGTGGTTCTGGGGAGACCTCGAATCATAAATGGAAAGGACTAAGGTGCTCAGCACAGAGCCCAGAGGTTCGCTACCATCGCCACAGGTCCCCGCTCTCTTTTCCAAGATCCTGCTGCTAAATGTGCTGCAGACCCCAGAATCCTCCAGGGCTCAGGGAGGTTACACAGTGTGCACACTGCAGAACACAGAGTACTCGCCCCAGACACTCTCTGCTGGGCTGCTCAACATGTTACATTTCTGCAGTGTATCCTGTGAGCATTCACCAAGTACAACAATTACGATTACAATTATAGTGACAAAACTGTATATATATAGTTTATGAGTGTGTAACATACATGTAACATATATAAAACTATATGACATCAATTCAGGACTTGTTTGAATAAGATAAGTTTGCAACAAACACACACATATACTTTCAGTTTCAGAGCTTTCGGATTGGAGAATTGTGGATAAGGGTCTGTAGTATATCCGTTTATGGCGATTGTTGGCCTATTTTCAGGAGCACGTTGTCGGATGTTAAGGTCAGATGTGAGTGAATAGAAACAGTAGAGAAAAAGGCATATCGCATAGTAAGACCCTCCATCCTCAAACCCCAGCTTTGCCACTTACTGACCATGTCACTCGGGCAATTGTCTCAAGCCCTCTGCCTTAGTTTGCTCATCTATAAAATGGGATAGACGTCCAAACCTCACGGGATGCGGCAAGGATTAAATAATGTCATCCTGGGAAGCATTGAGAGGGCTGCCTGGCTCGTAGGGGACTGCGTGTCAGTGTTTGCCATCATTATTAACAAGCAAGCGTGGCTCTGCTGGGGGCTCCTGTACGGTGTGGCTCCCAGGAGCCGTCACCCACCTCCTCACAGCCTCTCCTACCATTGCAGGATGATGTTGGACTCAGTGACACACAGCACCTTCCTGCCCAATGCGTCCTTCTGCGACCCCCTGATGTCCTGGACTGATCTGTTCAGCAGTGAAGAGTATTATCCTGCCTTTGAGCATCAGACAGGTGTGTACGTCTGGAGGGGCCCATCTGAGCTGGGACGGGCTGGGGCAGGAGGTGGTGCTGGGCTTGGGCGGACAACAAGGCCATGCTGGGGGCCTGAAAATGCCAACTGTCACCAGTGTTTAGGGCAGAGGACCAGGGGAGGTCCAGACAATAGGGAGGGCAGTCCCGGCAGAGAGGAGAGCACTGGAATCCTTGCCCCAACCTCTTCCCAGCTTTCCGGTCTTAGGGAACTCCGCTAACCTCTCTGAGCCTCACTTTGCTAACAAGTAAAATGGAGATGATAACGCCAATCTCTCGGAGTTATTATATTTAAACCATGTAATGGGAAGAAATCCTTAGTCCAGAGCCTCGTCTGCTGTGGTGGCTCGATCAGCACGGTTTTAGCTAACATTTGCTGAATACTCGCTATATGCCAGACTATGTGCCACATGTCCATCTCGTCTTTATGAGAAATGGACAATTATTATTCCCATTTTATAGATGAAGAAACTGAGGCACAGAGAGGTGGTGACTTGCCCAAGGTCTCATGGTTAGTTAAGTTTCATGCAAGTTGACTTGAGCACCTGTCTTCTTAGCTGTCCTACGTGGTCATCTCACAAATGATGTAATGCTGTGCTTACTGGTATTGATGCACATTGTTCTCTGAGAGTCTCTCTCCTTATCCCTTAAGCAGGAATGATGGGAATTACCGTGAGGATTAAGGGTGCCAAAATGTGTAAAATATATAGCCTGGCACGGAGTAAATGCTTAGTAAACATGAGTCCCCTGACTGTCCCCCCGGCCACCCTCCCCACCTTTCCTCCTCTCTTGGGCCAGTTTCTTCCATCTGAGAAGGGAGCACAGGGCCTGTGCAAATCCCATGCCAAAGGGAAGCCTGCTGAGCTTTGCCCCAGCGGCCCCCTGAGGGCTGAGGACCACTGCCCCTCACAGCAGGCCTGGCCAACTGCTGCAAGGCGGGTGCATGCCCCGCGGGGTGGCGATGCAAGTGCTAATCAAGCTGTCACTCCTCCTGAGCCTTCACCCAGTGCACCCCAGGCTGGCAGGAGGCAGGATGCAGGCAGCGTCCAAGAGAGGCCGAGCCTCCGAGGATGCTGCCAACTGTCCACTACCCCAAGCAAGGCCCTACCTCCGGCCAGAGACCAGGGCTGCACAGACAGACTGGGGCACTTGCGGATGTCATTCAGTCCTGGACCCACTCCCATCCCCCAGGCACATACATGCACACATGACGTCTCTCACCCTCATCTTAGGGTTCAGAGAAACGCATCTGCACTTGAGTCATCCACATACATATTATAATTCTCCTTGAAGCCTAGAAAGCACTTCATTTTCCAGAAAGACATTGAGAGATGTACTCGACCCCCTCCCTTTAAGTTTGGTTAAGAAGCTAAATTTGAAGGAGGAAAATGAAGGCTTTCACCGCCTGTCCCCTCCCTTGTGTGTCCCACGATGGTGGGGCCCAGCTCCTGGTCCTTCTCTCCACCCACGCCATCCTGGGGTCCCTCTTCCTGTCGGTTCTGCTGGGCGCTGGAGGGACGGGATGGCCCCACCCACCTGTCCCACACAGTGTCCCAGGCGTTGGAACAGCAGCTCAGACTTTGGCACCGGGTGTCCTAAATGCAGTCTGGCTTTGACCTTTGATACTGTGCCATCTTAACCTCTCATGCCTCAGTTTTCTCATCTGTACAATGGAAATAGTAACAATGCCTGCCTCGTAGAGCTGTTGTGAGGGTGAAATGAGTTCATGTGTGCGAAGTGTTTGGGACATGGTCAGGCACGTGGCAGGCACACAAGCGTTTAACAATGAAGAATGAGTTTCAGTTTTAGAAGATGAAAAAGTTCCAGAGATGGATGGTGGTGATGGTTGCAAAACAGTGTGAATGTGCTTAATGCCACTGGACTATACACTTAAAAAGGGTTAAAATAGTCAATTTTATGTTATGCGTATTTTATCACAATAAAAAAAATGAAGAGTTAACAGAAGCGATCACCACTAGGATTGCCAACGTTGCTTAAATCTAACAGTCTTAGATATACAAACACAGCTTTCTCCTGTCTGAGGCCTCTGCATTTCCATCAGTGTAATGAAGGGTTGACCCAGGTCATTGTTAGGATCCCTTCCAGAAGCTTCTCTGATTCCTGAATCAGGCAATATCTCAGATGTAGCCTTTTCCCCCCATCACCCATTCATTGAGAGAATAGAAATTCCTGCCAAGGCTTGAAGCCAATGAAATACAATATCCTCCAGGAGTGGTCCAGCTTCCTAACAGTCCCTGAGGGGGGAGCCAGCTTTTTTCTTTTTTTTTGAGGAAGATTAGCCCTGAGCTAACATCCACCACCATCCTCATCTTTTTACTGAGGAAGATTGGCCCTGAGCTAACATCCCTGCCCATCTCCCTCTCTAATTCATGTGTGGGATACCTGCTGCACTATGGTTTGATAAGCGGTACGTAGGTCCGTGCCCAGGATCCCAACCAGTGACCCCCCGGAGCCACTGAAGCAGAGCATGCGGACTTAACCACTGCGCCACTGGGCCGGCCCCAGAGGAGCCAGCTTTTGACTTGCCATCTGGCCCTCTGGATTTCAGAAGGAGCTGAGTGTGTCTCACTTCCTGAAGGTCAAACTTAGGCGTGAAAAGTTAAGTCTCGAGCAAGCACCTGGGCACCAGGTGAGCCTCAGGCCCTTGCTGTCCTCAGAGCCCCACCTGTGGGACGACTGCCCGGTGGTGCCTTCAGTCTTTTTCTCACCCAGCAAGGCAACGCATCGGTCTGTGTCTGCAGAGCCCTCTCAGAGAGGGATGTGTCGGGGGACAGCCAGGTTTGCCTCTGGGCACTGCTCCTCACGGTGCGCATGCTCAGTGGCCAGCCGGCTCTGAGACATCTCCTGCCTCACGAGAAGTTGCATCTCGAATTCAGGGTTGGCCCAGTGGCAGCTTCCTGTTCGAGTCTAGGTTGGGAGGCTGGCTCTGCCACTTAACCACCCCGTGACCTTAGGCAGGTTTTTCTAACTTCTCTGAGATGGGCTTTCCTCCGCTGACACAGTGTCTGCCTCCTGGAGTCGAGGAATGACGGAGCTTCCACACGTACAACGTTTAGCCCAGCTCCTGGCACACAGTAGGCACTCACCGTGGCCAGGAACACTGCACGATTTACAGTCCGGGGGAAAACAGCCTGCTCTTGTCTTCATTTTTCATACTGGACGAGAGCAACGCAGGTCTCCATCTCAAGCTTTCCAATTCAGAATTTTTGTCAACTTAGCTCCTTTGAGACCAAAGGGAGGGAAAGAGAGAGAGAAGCGATGTGCCCACTAGACAAGTGATGTCTAGGAGGAATACTCAACCCAGCTGGGGAAACCAGCTGTCTCACGACCTTTCTCAGTGGCTCCAGCAGAGGGCAGCTGACCGGCGCCCCTGTGCACTAACGGCCGAGGGGCAGCCTGCCCTGGGAGCAGGACTTCTGCTTGGCCACCCTGCGGGCTGGGGGTCAGCCACAGACTGCAAACTACTCTCGAATTTCATTAGCTCACCCTGGCCTCCCCTTTGGTTCTTTTAAAATAAAAAGCTAAAAATACTGGAAAAATTTATTGAAGTGTGGAAGGGGGCTGCATGTATTTCACAAGCTTACGATATTTTTTAAAGATTATTTCTCCAATCAAGCTCTGCTAGCCCCACGTCTGACAAGTCACGGAGAATCCTGGCCGCCCCCACTTCTTTCTGGAACTGGGGCCTGAGCCTCTGCACACCCACACACCCTCCCCTGACTGCCACACCGGCCACGCCCCCAGGAGCGCCCCTTTTGCTTTGGAAGCCTGTTTATGCTTTGTCTGCAGCAGAGATTTCTAGGTTGGGGCAGCTCTAGGGGACCCAGGGACCTGGGGTGGCAGCTGAGAAAGCCAGGCTCCGGCTCCCACCCCAAGCAAGGCTCCTGAAGACAGGACAGCGTGGCGGCTGTTATAGCGGGGTTGCAGGAACGCTGCGCCGACACGACCCACTCCTCGCTCTGCCCCTCCCTCGCTGTGTGACCTCAAGAAAGGGATTTCACTGTCTGTGCCTCACTTTCTCCATTTATTTTGTAAAATGGGCAATGTGAGCATGGCATTGTGTGGAGGACAACCTGAGAAAACACGAAAGGTGTAGTGTGGTAACTGGCACGTACTGTCAACAAGTGTGTCAGCTGTCATTACACAACAGGAGGTTTCAGTTGAAGAAAGAACCTTAAAAAAAAAGTGCAAAACCCCCTATGTTGGGTGTCAGCATCCGGGAGAGCTGGGAACGAGGAGCTGCATCCCACACAGGCTTTTCTGAGCTGGACTCGTGTGCTGAGTATAGAAGTTTGAGAGCAGACGCAAGACCAAGAGTCTAAGAATGTCCAAATCAAAATAGATAAATAAAAAATCCTCTGAGAGGCTGCGTGAGCCCTGGAGCAGCAGTCACACCCTAGGTCACGCCCAGGAGAGGCCTCCCACTGGCCACCTCCCGGCTGTCCATACAGGCAGCGGTGGCCCCAGCACTGCTCAGGGATTGGCGCACCTGCCCTCCCAGCTGCAGGCGCCCGGGCCGCGGCTCTGCCCACACCCAGCCGGCCCTCCTGTCTTTTCTCTATCCAGTTTCTTCCGCTGCTCCAGCTTTTTCTCCTTCTCTTGGTCTAAATCATTCCACAGCCCAGGAAGGAAAGCCATGAAGGACCATCGGCCGCGGCCCGACCGGCCCCGAGAGGAAAACTGGAAGCAATTGATCATTTCTGGTTTCTCCTCGTAAAGTCCTTCTTTCAGTGACAAAGCCACAGTTGGTGGTGCCCATGCTACCCAGTCCCCCCGCCGGCTCTCTTCTGCACGGCCCCAGGCAGAAACCTCCCGACCCCCTGCACTGGGGACTCCTGCTGGTCATGGCCAGGCCGTCTGACCCCAGCCACCTCTGACCCAGACCGCCTGCCTCCCCTCCGGGCCCTGGCTGGCTTTGCTCTGCTGTCCCTTAGCGAGACTGAGGCCCTGGTGGGCAAGGC